AGTTCGCTACAGGAATCGTTAAAGAAACAGATAAATCACAGTAATTTCAACATGGCACTTTTGCCATTCAATAAATGGGTATTTTAAATTTCATTTGCTTTTGAACGAAGTTCAATAATTTATAGAGTCAGTCATTCAAAGATTAATGCTCAGGAGGGAGAAAATCAGCACACAAGAACAGAAACATATCATTTATGTATATTACATTGGAGCCTTCCCTGCCTCCGTTTCCATTATAAATCCGATTTTGCAAGCATGTGTTATAAAAAGTTTGCCACGGGCTAAACTTTGACATTTGTCTCAACCTCCTGAGACTTTTTTTTTAATTTGATTTTCTCTCTCGAATAGTATAACAGCTAGTTATGGGTTGTTTTATTTTTTTCCAGAGGTGGGTGTGTGTGCACACGTGCAGGCAGGTGTTCCTTGCATGTGTGTCCATGTGGAAGTCAGCGTTGGGTGTTTTTCTCAGTTATTCTCTTTTACCTTAGTGTGAGTGCGTGTGTATGTGAGAGTGTGTGAGTGTATGTGTGAGTGTATTAGCAAGTCTGAGTGTGTGAAAGTGAGTGAGTGTGAGTGTGTGTGTGTGAGAGAGAGAGCGAGCGAGTGTGTGAGAGTGAGTGTGTGTGTGTTGCCCACATATGTGGGTGTGAAGGCCAGATGTTGCCACTGGTCTAGACTTACTAATCCTTGAAAGTCAGGGGTAATTGTGTTTAAATCTTCTCATGAAAAGCTTCTTTATGTGAAATGCTGTTACATGTTTTATGTTTCTCTACATGTGTGCATGTACATACAGTACTCAGGGAAGGATCAGAAGATAAGTTCAGGGAATTGGTTCTCTCTGTCTATCATGTGGATCCAGGGATTGAACTTAGGTTATCACGTTTGGCAGTGAGTGCTCTTACCTACTGAGCTATCTCACTGGCCCTAAAGCACATTTCAAATTTACCAATGTTGACTGTGGGGCTCCCTGAGTTAAAACAGCTACCAGGGAGAGCATGAGGCATTCTGCTTTTCCCTCATGTTCCACTAAGCGAGCCATGGAGCCTGGCTTTTTCCACCTCTTTTGTGGTTCTTGTGGAGGAGGAGAAGTTGGCCCTGAGCTGAGCTGGTGGGTGCTTGGTGTTCTTCCTTTTTGTCTTTGGAACAGCACAGTGGTTTGTCCCTCCTTCCTTTCCAGCCGTAAAGTTCATTTGGCATGGGATTCTGGCAGGAATAAGGGACAGAGAAATGCGAATTTCCATAAGAACTTGGAAACATCTGGAGAGAGGGATGGGTCATGAAAACTATTTTCCAAGACCTTATTTCTGCCCTCAGGTGGATTTGGAGTCTGGTGTATAGCATAGCAGGTTAGAATACATTAGAAAAAAGCATTTATTTAATGCCTAGTGTTGCATTTGTCCTACTTGTTGGATTAAGTAACTGGACTACACACGTGTACATCTGGACAAGCAGGTGGGGGCACACATGTTCATATCTGTTGATTTTTTTTTTTTGTCAAGCAACTGGTTTTGCCTTTAGCTGTGTATATGTGCAAATAGTATTTTTTTTCTTACAGAAATGCATTTTGAGCTTGAGAGTTCTTTACGTATTGTTTCCGATGCTTAAGTCTCTGCCTTCCAGATTGGACTGTAAGCAGCAGGCATGCTGACAGCACTAGGGATCCACACAAGACCAGTTGGACTTTGAACATGGCTCTGTCTTGTAAAAAAAAAAAATGTGTCAAGTTTGCTGCAGAAATAGAAATACTTTAGACAAACGGCTCGAAGAAAAACCAGGAGGATGGGCTGGCGGGATAGCTCAGAGGGTAAAGTGGATCTAGCCAGAGCCTGACACCCCGAGTATAATCCCTGGAACCTACAGTACAAGGAGCAAACTGGTCCCTAAAGTTATTCTTTGACCTCCACAAACACTCTGTGGTACACGCCTCCCATCACAATTATATACATATACGTATATGTATACGTATACGTATATATATATATATATATATATATATATGTATTTATATATGCATGCACATGTATATAGATATTGATATAAAATTAATGTATCATATTATACATGTGATATATATGTAATATATATTATGTGTATATATACATGCATATATGAATGTGTGTGTACATATGTGAGTACACACACATACTTCACACATAGGGCAGTGAAGTTCTATGGTTCTTCATAAGCAAGGGCGTAGGCTAAGAGGCTGATCGAGCAGCCAGCCCCTTAAGATGTTTTCCCTCATTCAGGCTGTTTGTGCGCGATTAACTATCTTCTCAGATCTACCCATTCTGGCACATTCATTGTTTTTCTTGTGGCAAAAACAAAAACCAGCCTACATAGCGTGCAGCCCTACCTCCTTCTGGTTTCAATGTATACAGTACGGCATCACCCACCACATGCAGCGTTGAGCAGCGGCTTCCCAGAACCCACCCTTTCACCCGTGAGAAAGCACACTGTTGGAGATGGCCTGTGTCTGGGCCTGATTTTCACCACATCCTCCCATCTGTGGCTTTATTCCGAATCGTCCTCCTGCTCTGCTGCTTTTCTCCTTCAGCACAGTTCCTCTGCTGGTCCTTTATGATCGTGTTAATCATGACCCATAATGAACTTAGTACAGAGGCCCACGAGAACACATCACTGCACGTGACTATGACCATGACCTGTCTGCTTCCTAGATGTCATTTGAGGCAAACCAAATAGCTCCTAAAGTCACATAGTCCTGAAGAATAGATAGAACCATGGTTAAAGCTGCTGCAATCAGATTATTGAAGAAATCTGAATCATTTGATAGTTTAAACTATAGACTGCTTCTCCCTCCTGCACCATCATCAAGAAGCTGACTGGGGAATGATAACCAGAGCCTTGGGTAACCAAACCTGATAACTTGAGTTCTGCCAACTTTGCCACGCTAGGCTCAGCCATTTATCCCCAGTATGCTAATTTCAGAGGTGGGAAATAATCATGAGCACACAGGAGGAGATTTATTCCATGTTAGGAGGAGGGACAGATAAAGGTGGGAGACGGGAGGGCTGTCCACTGGCCTAACCCATTTTCTAAGTGACCTCTAAGAGATAGTTTGAAAATGCCAGGTCTGCCTAACTGGCCTCTCCAAAGCTGCAGAGGGGTGAGGCCTGAGGTTTGCTACACACTCACTCACACACACACACACACACACACACAGAGAGAGAGAGAGAGAGAAACACACACCCCTTCTTTCAGTAACTGGAGTTTCAGGGCAAAAGCCTGGCCCCAGCAGTCTCAATAGGCTTAGCTGCTCATCTCAATGTGTCAATCAAAGAGTAATCTTAAAAAGCAGGGAGAGAGAACATTCAATCAACGTTCCCACATTGGGTAAAACAGATCCAGTGACTCCCAAGTCTGTCTTCAGGGTACTGATGTGCTTTTGGAAGATCAGAGGTCTGCATAGGTGGGCAGTCTTGGTCAAAATGTGGTCTGCTTGACCATTGTTTTGACTCTGTGAGGGTGGTCTGAAAATGTCTTCATCTCATGCATGCAAAAGAGGGTAGATCTTGTCCCTCTCTGATGAACAGTCCTACTCTAGGGTTTGGAGTAATAGAGGAATACCGAAGTCCGTTATGGATAGTCATCCTCATCTTCTCTAGGAATCCAAGGTGACGACAGGGTCAACATCAGGACCTAGCTTTATGTCTTCTGCTGAAGTAAAGGGGACAGATAGGTGCACAGTGAAGGTGGAGGTCAGATTTTCAGTTAGCAGTGGCCTAGGTGTGGCCCAGGTGAAGAGTCAATGCGTTTTGTTTATTTGTTTTGTTTTTAACAATTTCTAAGTGTGTGTTCTTGAGCCACACCTTTGGAGACCTGCCTTGGATAAGAACCTTTGTTTACACTGGTGTGGATTTGGAAATTAGTCTCTTAAAAAAGAAAGGAAAGAAAACAAAACAAAAACAACCGATTGAGGCTCTGTTTTGTGGAGAAGGCTCTTGCTTCCCAGAGAATGACATCCACATGTTTTCTTAGTACAACTTTCACACGGAAACCACCAGAGCTCAGCTCAGCCCACTGTTTGCATCACATGTCTCTCCCGTTTGTTTTACATTTCTAAGGGAATCACAGCCTTTCCTATAAAAGCAGGGTGTTATAGGACATGGTTTTTTATCTCTAGAATTGATTCCTCTGTCCTTGTGATATAATGGTTCTCAATAAACTCACAGCATCATGCATTTTTATATCATTCATAACCTGTAAGCTGAGAGCTTTTATAAATTTTCAAGCAAGCCAGTTCATTTGTATTATATTATATGGTGATTTAAAAAAAGAAGAGGCCAAAGCAATATCCAGTTAATTTTTCAGCTTTCTAACACACATTTACAACAGGCTTTACATTACTTAAATCTTTTGAATACATTTAGAATTTCAAAAATTACCTTGGGAGTTGCCAAGATGGCTGTCCCAGCAGGTAAAAGCACTCTGCTGGCAGATCTGGCGACCTGAGTTTAATCCCAGGAGCCCACATGGTGGAAGACATGAGGTGACTCTTCCAAGATGACCTTTGACCTCCATGTGCATGCCAGGACACCAGTCTGTTGTCCTGTTCTCCCCCTTTATCCCCAAGAAATATAGACAAATAAACATAAAATAATAAGGTCTGAACTCTGCTGTTATTGAAAAATAAACTCAACTTCAACAGCTGCAGTAAATTCAATGCCCAGTGGTGGTCCAGCGTGTCCGGATTCTCATTCACCAGTAACCTTCAGTCAGTGGTGCTTGTGTGTATTAAAATTGCGAGCAGGATAGATAGCAGTGGAGTTTGGTAAACAGTTCAGTTCTGAGAGTCCCGAACTTCCATTTGAAAAGCATTTCAGGTTTTCCAGAAGTATCCATTTACCTCAGCCGTCTCCTCCCTCTATAGAGCAGAGAGAGCGTCTCCCAAAGCCTCCCATCTCTTCTTACACAACTATTTATCTTTCTGTGGTGCCACGTTTGGGAGTCTCATTAAGGCTGCATCTGTTCTGTTTTAGGAGAAACCCGACGCCAACCCCACGTCACTTCAGCTGCGGTCCCAGATCGAAGTAAGCACAGCTATGTTCATCATCTAGTGTTGCTTCTGCCTTTTCTCTTAAGTGATATTCTAAATCAGTCTCCGCTCTCCCATGCTGACACAAGAACCTTCTCTCTCTTCTAGGAGTCCCTGGGCTTCTGCAGCACCGTGTCAACACCAGAAGTGGAAAGAAGGTAAGTCACCTCCTGGCCCAGCCAGAGCTTCCAGGACAGCGTCAGAGCTGGACTTGGATGTGATACTCTTTAACATGTTCTGTGTGGCACATCTACCAAGGTGGCCTTCGCAGTCCAGCTGGGGATGCCTGAGGCTTTCTAAGAGGATTATTAATTTTGCATAGCTAGTTGCAAGGGAATCCTGAATAAATGCCTAGAATTAAAGGAACGGGCAGGTAAGTCAATGGCGCTAGGGCTGCATCTTTGATGTTAGCTTTTAATAGAGGATGAAAAGCAGGAAGGAACCAAGTTTTTTAAAATAAATAAATAAATAAATAAAAATAAAAATTAAATTCTAAGTAAAGCAGTAGATTTTGAAAGGCCTCCCTACACCTCATTTAGGTATGCCACCCCAAAACAAATAGGTGACGTATGTACAAGAAGCTTGTGCCTGCTCGTGAACCTGTTCTGTTAAAGGAATATTTTTGTTCTCTTCTAACTTAGACTCTATCATTTCTGCTCTCATACAAGATAATGCCGTGTTTTATATTTTCAGCATTTCTTTTGGACAGGTTAAAACTTTTTTATATACAGGCTTTCCCTTTTCTGTTTTATTCCAGTAGTAGCACCATGCTAGAATGGTCTACGTGTGATTGTACCGAAGTAAAGAAATTTAAAGAAAGCCCACATCTCTAAGCAAGACACTTCCTCTGGCCCAGAGCCATTTGTCCTGTCCTGTGCCAAGGGAGGCAGAACAGTGGTTTAGGAATGAAGTATTTTAGGAATGAGCAGCACATGCTGGGGGAGCGTGTGTGTGCTTTACAGCCCCCTCTGCCTAATCCGGCCACGTGTGCGCTGCTGGCAGGGCCAGCGACTAGGAGCGAATGCCACTTTGCCATAACACTGCAGTTCTCAACCTGAGGGACTGAGTGGGCTTAGGGGCAAGACTAAAGAATAACGCCATTGACACCAAAGAGCTAACAAACAGCAGAGGTTAGAGGATGTAAGCACACACGCTGTAAGTATGTAAGCATCTCCTGTTCCAGTTGACTTGGATCGTGCCAGGATCCTAGTCACGCCCAGGCTGAAGTGGGCCAAGGGTGGATGTGCACATTGACTTTGAACCAGGAGGTACCGAGATGCTGGAGAAGCATTGGGAACAGGGGCTGTGGGCTCCCTTGGCCTACTGTATCACTTGGGGATGAGGTAGGCAGAGGGCTCATATGCTCCTTCAGAGCCTCTGAGTCCTTCAGGAAGGAAGAAATGCTCTTCCTTCCTAAAGTGACTCACCCAGCGTGGATTAGCCTTGGTTAAGCTGGGTATTCCTTTCCCTCGGTGGTGAGGAGTCATGTTTTCCCTGTTAGTATCCTTTCCTTCAAAATATGGTGTGTCTCCTGTGGCCGAGGGAGAGACAGATGGACTCCTGAGGTTAACAAAAAAATCTGCACCACACACACTGTTTACAACATCTCCCCCGACCGACCCCATCTCCCCATCTGTTTGGTGCAGCCATTTGGCTTCTGTTCTTTTAATTGGTTCAGGTTTAAGTATTTCTAAACATTTTGAACTTTTAAAAAATATCTTATTCATTTCTCTAGTAATGTTTCTTGAAAATTATAGCATTCCTTTTTAACTTCAAAACAAAGCTTTGTTTCAGAGTCAGCATTTACTGACATGTGTATGCTCTTTGTTCTCTCTCTCTCTCTCTCTCTCTCTCTCTCTCTCTCTCACACACACACACACACACACACACACACGGTTGCTGAGCTATTGGAGAGTAAATGACACACATCACAATCGGAAACCCTTCAGTCCTTTGGCATTTCTTAAGGACAAAGGAAAACACTCTTGTTACAGAACCACAAGGGATTTACCAAGAAAGCACAGTGAGTTCTGGCTTGCAGCTTTCCTGAATTGCTCCAGTGCTCTCTTGTATAGCATTTTTTTGTTTTGTTTTGTTTTTAAAATTTTAATTCAGCACTTAACAAATTACTCATGGCGTTGTCTGAAAGGCTTTCTTAGTCTCTTTCCACTTTTTACATAGTGGGCTAGTTGTCTTAGGTTAGGTCTTTCTTATTTCTTTTCTTATTCACAGTACATTAATTACATCAGGAGGCTCGTGATGCTCACTAATCCCATGATTGGTGATGAATTCTGATAGTTTGCTTACTATGGTATCTGTCAGGCTTCTTTTGGGAAATAATGCCCTTTTTTCTTTTTTCCTCTTTGAAACACTCTATGAGGAGATTATCTGTGACTCCAGCCCAGCTCACCCCTCATCAAACTTTTACCAGGTTCTTAGATTCAGCAATTCTTCCTGAGTTAATTTTTAACACAATGGCTGTAAAGTAGAAAACACTTATTAGTTGATAATTATTTTGAGATTAAAATACTCTTAAGAGGTTTCAGGTTTCGTCTTGTCTTGAAAGATGAGCTATCACTCTGAAATTTCTAAGTCAGATATAGTTAGGACAGATTTAATGCACGGTTTACTTTGAAAAGTTACTCATTGGGCTTTAAAGTGCAGGTATGTTCAACTGGAAAATTCTTCGATTCCTCCCACCCAGACGCGGCTGGCATCTTGACAGTTAGTTGCTCATTGAGACTGTGGAAGATGGCCTGACAAACCAGTTGGTTGTGTCTGGTTAGTGTCCTTTGAGTATCTGCCAACTAAAACACTTCTCTGACTCAGAGTGTTGCCTTATGGGTAGAAATGTTCTTCTGCTTTTTATTCGAAACCTATGAGATCTTAGGAAACAAAAGGAGTGGCTCAGGGGCTACAGGCAACTTCAAGGCTAGAGCAGCCTTCTGCCTTCTGCATCCAGTGTCCCCCAGTGTCTTGGGGGGACCAGAGCTCCCACCCTGATGCCCTAGGTAAAAGCGATGCTAAGACAGGGATCTGGCCTGGTGTATGATGCAAAAGAAAACAAAAACAAAAACAAACAAACAAACAAAAACCAGTACTTTTTCCAGGGTTGCTTTTCACTTAACAGGGTTTGAAGTCTTAAGTTCCAGGAAGTGAGCTTGGATCAAGGGAGGTAGGTGTGGTGAGTCTGTCATGGAGAGGATGGCAATGAGGAGATCTGACACAGCTGGCATCACCTTCCTTGATGATCCTGTCTGGTTTGGCTGTAAGCTTCTGGGTTCTAGGCTGCTTGGCCTGTCCAACATAGAATCAAAGAGAAAGACAGATAGGGAGGTAGGTCAGTGGGAAGAGAAACTGGCTTCTCTCACCCCATCACCTCCTTGACAAACACCCTCATTCATCCTGGTTTTCAGTAGGATGGGTTTTGTTTTGCCTGTGGCACTGGGGATTAGACACGGGACTTTGTGTGACAAGTGCTACCACAGATCTGTCGATGAGCCGTGTGGCCAGCCACACCCTCCTTCTCTCTTGCTGTATTCTTTTACTGAGAAGACGATAAAGGAACAAGGAAGTTTCCATTTGCACCCTTAATTTTCACAACTGTCCGAATTACCGTTGATGGGATAGAGTATGCACTTCATGGCCCCGATCTTGGATGGCTGTCTGCTACCTTGATGGATGAATCTGAGCTAAATTTCTTGATAGCAGCTATTCTCAAAGATTGCTAAAAAGCAAAGCCTTTCTTTCATTCCTTTTATTTTTCTTGGCTAGGATATATCTTTATATATGAGGAAGTAGGTTAGCTATGGCTGTCAGGAAGCCTGACACATACTGACATAATACCAATTTCAATAGATGCATTTTTGCTGTTGTCCCTGATAATATATTTAGGACTGGCCCTGTGACTTATGTCTTTCAGGAACCCAGGCTGTACTTATTGTTTTGTTCTGTTTCTTTCTTTTGTCCTGGGAGTGGTGAGAGAGTGTCATCATGACCACAAAGCGGCTGCTACATACAGCAAGAAGCGGGGGAGGGGATGGCAAAGGCATGCCTTTCAAAAAGTTTACTCAGGAGCCTCTCCCCACACCATGCCTGTCTCTTTGTTTCTTCATTCAGCAGCTGTTTACTGAGCACCAACTTGGCATGGTCGAGATGTGGCGATGCCCGAAGAGATAGGTCAGGTCAGAAGGAAGAGAGAATTACAGGGGAAAAAAATCATACATTTCATAGCTTAAAGCAAATCGCTGGGTGATTTGAGGCACGGGCCTTGGCAGCAGGTAGACTGAGTGTGCTGTGACCTGGGAACCCCCTATGAGGACACCCATGATGTGCTTCAGCTGTCACAAATCCCTGAATTCTACCACTGGGATAGACTGAGACCCTCCAAAACCAGGAGCCAAAATAAAAGTCTCCATCCCCCCTCTCCAAATAAAAGTAAATAAGTCAAAAGAATTGGGTTATTCCATTGCTGGATCGCAAGAAAGCTTTGATAACTGAACATGTTAGTAGCTTCCACAAGAGCTAATAATAATTCATTCGTGTGCTATACACACTTATAAGACTGATCTGAAAATGAGACAGATGCCTCATTTTCACATAATGCCAGGATTCTCTGCTCTGTATGACTAAGGAGCCATGAAGCCAGCAGTCTGAGGTCATCTGCTTGTTTCTTTTATCTGTGCAGAGGTGGTTTCATAGTTAGTTCATCTGGACTGCAAGTCAGAAGAGAACAGTAAGAATATGTGCTTTAGGGTTTATTATCTCCCGAGGATGGTTCCCCGTGCTTTGTACACATTCAGTACTTACAATCCCCTTCCTGCGACACTCTCTCCATTACTGTCCCTTACATTTACAGACACAGAAAGTGAAGCATAGAAAGGCCATTATATTGTTCAAAGCCACACGGCCACTCAGTATGAGAACCCAGATTTGATCCCAATTAAAGTGGCTGAGTGTGTGCTCCCAGCACTGTGATTCCAAACGGTTTACAATTGTTTTACTTCTGCAAATCCAGAGGTTAGGGGTAGGGGTTGTGATGGTAAATCATCAGTTGTCAACTTGACTGAATGTAAATCACCATGGAAAGACACCTGGAGGCAGAGCTTCTTTAAGGGTATTTTGGAAAGGTTTATTATCTGGAGGGAAAATGCACTTT